ACAGTAGCCTGAGAAGGTGAGGGGAGGAGAAAGGAGGGAAGCGAGAGGACATACCTTTTGGCTATGGTGGACCTTCATCTTCACTTACCTGGTTGTGCTGCACCAAAAAGGCCCCTGGGAAGGTACCTGCAAGGAACCTGACTGTTCACAGCTTGCTCGAGTGCATCAAACCGCATGCATACATGTCATCACATGTACAAAGTGGTCTCACACAAAACCAGATTGAGATGAGATAAGAACCAAGTAGCGCAGCTTATATTATCAATGTCACTTAATACAAAGAGTATCATGAGTTCCAGAGTTCAGCGCCAACAAGAGGTAAGTCTCCCTCGTCATACAACTGCGTGGAACCTGGCTCAGCCAGCGTTCTCCTTCAGATCACAAGTGTGGCGCCAACAGGTAAGTGTTCACCATATCCAAACTCACTCCGTCTTCTCTCTCTTGCTCTCTTCTCTCTCGATATCTCTGTCTTGGTTCTCTTCCTTTCACTATGCATGCACACTCTCACCTACGAAGATCTACTCTGAACTCACTGATATCCCACCACTAACTATCTCTCCTACTACTAACATAGGGTGGCGCAGCTATGGCTTCCCTGCAGCCAGCGCCCAGCCTCCCTTCTTCCTGGCGCAGCTCTTCTTTAGCCAGCGCCTCTCCCAGCACTACAGCGCACAAGTGCCTCAGAACTTCCACGCATCAATGCCTATGGGAATCTGCCTGTGGGGGAGGCTGCCTCGTTTCTTGTAGTGCTGGCCTCCCCTGGCGAGGTCTGAATTCTGTCTGTCCCGGTCCTTTCACAGTCCCAGCCTCTGTGTATGTGTCCCAGATCCCTTTCCTTCAGGGGTTGCTGCTGCTGCGGCCTTCAGGCCTTGATTTTGGACTCCCAATCTGAATCTAGACTTTCTTTCTGTCTCGAATCTGGACTGGAACTTAACTCTTTGACTTCTGCTGGACAGACACACACAATGCACGAACAGACATCCTTCCTGCACGAACAGACACACTGACTGCACGTACAGACACATCTCTTGTTTGAATAGACACGACTTGCATTGCCCCTGGCGAACAGATGTGACCTCAAAATCTAAACATGGTGACTGTTCGTCCAGGGCCCAACCATGACCGTTGACATTGTCTTTACTTTAGCCAGGATGTGACCTTTGACTCAGAGAACATGTCTGTTGATCTGCTTTCACGAATTGGGCTCTGGGCGAGGGACCCCAATATGCTGCTTTCTTCGATCAGGGGCTGAATCGGGTAAAGGCGTGACTGCCTAGCTGTGGAGGGAGTAGTAGTGGATGCCCTACTAGTTCCTCCATAGCTAGGCTGTTTGTATTATAGCTACTACTCCCTCCAAGTTGGGTTATGGAGAGAGGAGGAGGACAGTAGCCTGAGAAGGTGAGGGGAGGAGAAAGGAGGGAAGCGAGAGGACATACCTTTTGGCTATGGTGGACCTTCATCTTCACTTACC